TGAGTGCATGTGCCCCATGGCAAAAACTTAAAACAAAAAACACACAGAGAAGTGTGGTAATAATGGAATAAAATAGGCTAATGTACATAAGTGTTTATTTTTCCATTTAATTTGTACATTTGCCTAGAAATTTTGATTAAATTTGTGTTCTGATCAAAGTTTGGTAAGGAATGCTTTTAATCCATTTACATGATTAATTTGCCTTTCAGAGGTATTAACTTTTTTTTTTTTTTTTTGGAGAGATTTTCGCTATAGGGCACGTGTGCTCACCAGACAGACACAGAAACAAAAAGCAAGAAATCACCCCCGAGGGGAGGGGGCCATGCCACAATCCCTTCTCCTCCGTTCTCCTCTCGGGATCTTGGGCATGCACGCACACACGCCTGGCATGAGTTTTAAGCCACTGGGTCCGGGACGGGAACCGCGGTCGACTACGTGGGAGTCCAGTGACATAGCCATTACGCTAACTGCTGGTTCCCGAGGTATTAACATTTTTTATGCTAAGAAAATATGATAATTAAAATGATACTGCACCTTTGTATAGTGTTTTATAGTTTATATCTTATTTCCACAAATATTTCCTTTTGTTAAAAGTTTACTTATTTATTTCTTCCTCAAGCGACAGAGAAAGACAGTACCCCCACAGGGTCTTTTTTTTTTTTTTTTTAGGGGTTTTTGCTATAGGGCACGTGAGCTTGCCAGACAGTGAGAGACAGAGAGACAGAAAGCGAGAAATCACACCCCAGAGGTGATGGCCATGCTGCAATCCCTTCACCTCCGTTCTCCTCTTGGGAGCTTGGGCACACACGCACACGCGCCCGGTGTGAATTTAAGCCACCGGATCCAGGACTCGAGCCGCAGTTGACTACGTGGGAGTCCAGCGACACAGCCATTACGCTAACTGCTGATCCCCCCACAGGGTCTTAATGCCATGTTCCAGCTCTAGCATTAGCAAGTCCTGGACCATGAGCATCTGCATGTTCAACATAATCAGGGGAATCTCTAGAGCAAACCCAACGCCTTCATGTGTGGATCAGCCTTGGAGAGCATTGTATTTTACTGTGGTGCCACCACCTGGCCCCTCCACATATATTGTTTAACTTGTGCCCTGCAACTCTCTCTGAAAGAAGACTAAAGGGTTACACCACACTTTGGCCTGAACTACTAAGAGCCTGGAATTGTCCTTAACAGTGACTGTGAATATGATGGGAGGGAGTGGTTGGGAGTTGGGGAGTATCAGGAATTCAGTTTTAGATCTACTGGGTCCTCGGAAAAGTCATGATACACTTTTTGCATAGAAAAACATGTCATGACTTTCCTGACAACCTAACAGTTAATTTGAAATGTCTAATTAATTACATTTCCATGTAAAAATGTCAAGTAGACAGCTGTATTTTGATCTTGAAGTTTAGAGGAAAATCCAGGCTAGAGATATTATTTGGTTTTCATCTGTCTACAGATTGTCCTTATAGTGAAGAAGGTTTTTTGTTTGTTTGTTTTTTAGTTTGCTGTAGGGTGCGTGGGGTTGCCAGAGAGAGAGACCATGAGTTGGGGAGTGAGAATTCACTCCCCAGGGGAGAAGGCCAGGTCACAAATACATTCTCCCCCATTCTCCTCTCAGTGTTCTGGGCATGCAGGCGCACATACCTGAAGTGATTTTCAAGCCACCAGCTCTAGGCTTTAAACCACAAAGTCAGCTATATGGGATCTAACTGCCTCAACCACCATGCCACCTGCTGATTCCGAGAGTATTTTTGATGATCTTAACAATTTTATGTATCTGATAATGTGACCTTAAAGATTTTTTTTATTTCAAGCCTTGTAAATACCAGCAAAATGGAATAGGTGTGCATTAAACAAATGTCAGAACACACACAGAAATCTTCTATAAACAATTTTATTGGTATGTAGATAAAGAGATGCCATAGGAGGAGAAAGCAATCTAATAATTGCCATGGGTTTAGTACATAGGTCCAAGTAGTCTGTTGCCAGTCTTGTCCTGATGAATTTGAGTATCCATTAGATTAGGTCAAGAAAGGCAAACATGGGACTGGAACCCAGTAGTGTCTGATCCCAAAGTTCATGCTCTTCTTACTCTGTACCACACAGGTCAGGAGGGTGTGGACTGTTGACTTTCAGTCATGTGTCCATGATGTGTGCAATGTAGTATAACATTGAGTATTAGTCTAGGGTTGTAGGATCTGACTTTGAATCTCAGATTTGCCAAATTAAATGGTTTGCAACTTCTAACCTCTCTAGGTGTTGGTTTTCTCATTTGCTATAATTAAACCTACCTCATAGAGTTGTTACAGTGATCTAACAGGAAAGGCTTTGTAAACTCTAAAGCATTTTATGCATGTCTGGAGGTAATAATACTATAATACAATTTGATTTATAATAGCATCCAGAATAAAATATTGGGTCATCAGAAAAGTCATGATGCATTTTTGCATAGAAAAACATAGAAAAATATGTCATGACTTTTCTGATGACCCAATACTTAGACATAAATTTAACCAAAAAAGTGCAAGATGTGTATATTGAAAATTATAAAATACTTTTGAGAGACATTAAAAATTTCTTTCTTTCAATGGAAGGACATCATACTTTTATATGTTGGAAGAGGTAATACTGTAAAGATGGCAGTACTCCTCAAATTCATTGATTTACAGATTCAGTGTAGTCTGTAGGGTTTTTAAAGATATGATAACAAAAACATAAACAATGAAATAATAGATGATTTAGACTTCACCAAAATGAAAAACTTCTGTACTAAATATGATACTGTCAAATTCAAAAGGCAGTCTATAGAATGTGAGAAAATATTTACAAATCATATAAAGACTCGCATCTAAAATATGTAATGAACTTGTACAACTCAAAAGTAAAAAGATGTATAATCCAGATAAAAAATGGCATCAATCTGAAGACATTTTTCAGAGAAGCTCTGCAAATGGCCAAGCAGTATATGAAAAGATGTTCAATACCATCAGTCTTTTGGGCAATGCAAATCAGAACCACAATTACATACCATTTCATACCTACTAAGATAGATGTAATAAAAAAGACAGATAATAAGTGTTGGTGGGGATATCAAGAAATTAGTACCCTCATCTTGCTAGTGGGAGTGTAAAATAGTGCAGCTGCTTTGTAAGGCAGTCTGGCAGTTGATCAAAAGGATATATTACCATATGTCCTAGGTATTTCATTACCAGATCTATAGTCAAGAGAAATAAAAGCATACATCCATACAAAACTTATATGTGAATGTTCATGGGAGCAGTATTAATTATCACCAAAAAGTGGAACTAGTACAAATACAAATGTACACCAACTGATGCATGGCATGGGTAAATAAAATATGATATATCCACATAATCAAATATTAGTTGGTAATAAAAAAGGAATAATGCACTGATTCATGCTACATGAATGATCCTTTAAAACATGAAAACATTATGCTACATGTAAGGAGCGAGTCATAAAAGACCACCAATTGTATTAACATAATTCAATTTATACGAATAGGCAAATCTATAGAGACAAAAAGTAGATTTATGGTTGTCTGGAACTGAGAGTGAAGAATGTCTCCAGAGGGGTAAGTAGTGTGAATATTAATGAATACAAGTTTCTTTTAGGGGTGATAAAGATATTCTAAATTTGATTGTGATGATGGTTGTACAACCCTGAATTTACTAAAAACCCCTGAATTATACATTTTAAATGTGTGAATTCGTCCTCACATGAATTATACTTCAACAAACAGTGCAAAATTATTTTTACAAATCCTGTCTGTGGTTGCGTTGCCTTCACCCCCCCCACCTTAGTTAAGCTAAACAGGTTATTTTGATGATAGATCCTGTTCACATCATTCTGAAACGTGTCATGTGAACCAGCTGAGACTAATACCTTAGTGACACTTAAAGCTAAGGTAAAATGAGCATCTTTTGAGTATTGCTTAAGTTTTGTGATTCTGTACCCTGGGGACTTTTTTTTTTAGTTCTGTCACCCTGTTTTTCAAAGTACTGTACTATACTGAACAAGAAATGAAAGTGTCTTTATTTTGTATTTTAAAAAAGAGCTAAGGGACAAATAGCATTTTAAAATATGGAGTATTTATTTATTTAGTATCGCTTTGGTCATTTGGTCTTAAGAAAGAAGGAAACCAGAATTAATTGAGGGACTCCTATGTTCCTGACATTTGTGCTTACCAAATACTCCTATATGCATCATCTGGTTTAATCCTTAAAACAACCTTATGAGGTAGTCCTTGTAATCCCTATTTAATAGGTAAGGAAACCAAGTTAGGTAACTTGTGTTATATAGCTTTTGAATGATGAAGTTAGGATTGGAATTCAAGCTTCTAAGTTCCGGTGTAATTTAGGATTTTTGGGGCTACCACATTCATTTCTTTTTTGGTTCTTTCTCTAAAGTTTACTGGCAAAAAAAAACTTTCTGTCCATGAGTAAGAGAGAGAGAGCCAGAGAGAAATAGAGCACCGGTAACAGGATTCTGACACCACGGTCCACCCCCAGCTTCAGCCCCCCGATCATGGATACGCACATTCCTGGTATACTCGGGGAGATCTCTGGACACAAACTGGCAACCCTCCTCTGTGGGTTTACCTCACAGTGTTGGTTTTACTGCTACGTCACTGTCTGGCCCTCAGGTTCTATTTACTTTTCCTGGTTGCAGAATATTGTAGATTTCCAATATGAGGCATCTTTCTCTTTTTCCTCTTTTACATTTATTTATTTATTTAGCTCTTTATTTGTTGTGATTTTCTAGCCACCAAGTCTGGGACTCAGCACAGTTGGCCATGTGGGAATCCAGCACTCTAACCACCATGCCACCTGAATCATCTTTTTATATGATGAAGTAGGTCCTCAGATCAAATCTCCCAGATTATAATTTTAAGTGTTATGCATATGGTAGGTTTCTCCTGTCTTACAAGTGTAGACATGAATAACTAATCGTATTGTTTGTTCTTTCCCTCACAGCAATGGTGAATTAGACCCCTGGTCAGGAGGTGGAGTAACCAAGGATATCACAGACACTTTGGTTGCAGTCACCATCGCAGAAGGAGCCCATCATTTAGATCTTCGAGCCAACAATGCCTTTGATCCAGAATCCGTGCTTGTTGCCCGCTCGTTGGAAGTCAAACACATGAAGCAGTGGATTGGAGATTTCTATAAGATGGCCAGGAAGCATCACTGAGCACGTTTTGATAGTTTTCAGTTTCTTCTTTTATGTTTACTCCACCCACATTCCCACGCTCTTTGGTTTTTTCTATGTAATTCTCCTCATTATCATTAGATTTGGTGGGGCCAAGGTTAAGAGAGAAGAGAGGGTGATGGTGGTTACAGGAGTCCTCCCATGAGTATGATTTCCCAGGTCCTTGCTGTCTTTCTACCAACTCAAGAAAGCATCTCCTTGTGACAGCTCTCCCACACCATCTGTGACCCTCATAACTGGAGCACAATTCCTGACTAACTTTCATGAGAGGGAGAGACACTTTCTTTGTTTCTCTGTAAGCAGAGATTTCTCCTTGGTTTTGAGGTTGGAGTGTCATTGGCCCATGTGTAATTCCTCGCTCTCACTCTCCAAAAAGGAAAAGCAAAAGGTAGATAAAAGTGATGTAATTGCAGGAAGAATATCTGGTGCCAATCAGGAAATGAGAGCCATTCCTTTTGTACTTGATTCACTGACTTTGAACCGTGTTGTAAATAAAGAATAAGGCTGGACCTTATACCTGTGTACTGCTTCTGAAGCTCACTGCAGTTGTTGAGAATGTTGTGTGCACTGGGCTCGGCTGTTTGGGAAACTCTTAGTGTCTCTCTGCCATTTGGCAGCTTGTCTTAGTTCTGGGATATTTGCCACCACGGTACTGCCAGTAAGAGATCTGGCCTTTTTCTGCTCCATTTCTCTTTGTTTCTAAGGTCAGTTTTGTGGAAATTTGGTTAAATTCTGACAGTGTAGGAAAATGACTTTGTTTTGCCTTTTGCTTTAAATCTGAATGAGTTTTATGCTGTGGTTACTGATGATACTTCAGGAAGAAGCCTTTTAAAATTGATGAATCAGTTACTCAGCAAATAAAATTTGTTAAAGTTTTTTTTGTTTTTCCCCCTTGTGGTTGTTACTGCTGTCATTAAAGCCAGAAGTGTCAGGGCATTAAGAGGCAGGTGCACGAGAACTTTTCTGTATGGCTTCCAAAAGACAAGCTGACTAATTCATGTAGGCAGCATATTTGACATTAATAAATGGCCAAGCCGTTCCTATTTCCAAGGGGTTGGCTTCTTTCAAGCAGTTCTTACACTGAGACCTTTCTTTAGAAGAAGAGCTTTTCTAGGATAACAAATAGAGTTGGATCAAAACCTTTCAGGGACACAGAAAGAAACTAAGTTTTTACTCTGTTGAAAGATTTCTTCTTTTTATTTTCTCACAAAAAATTTTTTGCCCTTCATCTTGGGAACATTTTCTGCTTTTTGAAAACTGTACCTTGAGTATGATTTTTTCTAAAGTACTTTTTCTTTTTTTAAAAAGTGTACCAATAGAGTTTATTTCTGGTTAGGAGACTGAAATATTTCCCTACTTTCCTTGGCATCTGGGAGATAGAGGAAAATCTTTGTCTTTTGCAAGTCTTCTGTTCTCATTGTAGTAAGTTGTCCATCAAAGCATTTAGTCACTATTTTTGTTTCAACATTAGAGAACAGTCTTTTGGGGTCGGAATTTAAGAGTCAAAACAAGACTAGTTTTTATTTTTTGTCAACTAAAAAGTTATGTAATGCAGAATTTAAGGGATTAATGGAGGATATTCTTACTATATAGACTTTTAGGTTTTCTTTGGAGGGTTTTACTTGTACAGAACCTTTAAAATATTTTGTTATTTTATTTAATATTGATAGTTTAGATGAACTACATTTTTCTGAAGAAACAAATTGCAGAAAATGACTATTTTTATTGCAAGTATATTTTGGTCCCATGTCTAAAAGTACATTATGTATAAAGGCAGTAGCCTTAACTGAAGTTAACCTACTTATAGTATGCTAAAATTTTTTTAAAGAATTATTTTATTTAGCTTTTTAAATTTATTTATTTATTTACTTTAATTTTACCAGAGAGGAATAGAGAGAGAAAGAGACGGAAAGTGAGAAAGCAAGTCGCCAGGTCTAGGACTCGAACCATGGTCGGCCATATGGGAGTCCAGCATCCTTAACCTCCATGCAACTTGCTGATCCCTATATGTTAAAATTTAATTTTAAATTGAAAATGAAATTAGAAGATCGAATAAACCTTATTGTTTAAAACACCCTTCCAATTAGTAAATTTGGTTTAAAAAAATTTTTAGTAGGTTTTTGTCATGTGTGTACACTTGCCAGAGAGAAACAGAGAGAGGGAAAGTGAGAAATCGTCCCTCAGGGGGATGGCCAGGCTGCAATCCCTTCTCCTTTCTCCTCTCAGGATTTTGGCCATGCATGCACACACGTCCAGTGGGATTTTCTCTTTTTTTCTTTATGAGAGATTTTTGCTATTCGGTTCGTGCGCTCACTTTAGAGACAGACAGAAAGCAAAAAATCACCACCACCCCGCCTCCGAGGGGGATGGCTATGCCACAGTCCTTTCTCCTCCATTATCCTCCAGGGATTTGGAGCACGCACACGAACATGCTTGGCATGATTTCAAGCTGTGGATCCAGGACTTTAACTCCAGTCAGCCATGTGGAAGTCCAGTGCCTTAACCACAATGCTACCTGCTGGCCCCTCCCAGCAGGATTTTCAAGCCACCAGGTCTAGAATTGAACTGCAGTTGGCCATGTGGGAATCCAGCACCTTAATAACCATGCCACCAGCTGGCCTGCCTTTTTTTTTTTTTTTTTTTTTTATTTTATTGTCAGGGGCACTCAGAGTCATGGTAAGACAGTCTCAGGGCAATCAGGTCCATGCACTTGTTGAGGAGAGAAAAAACCCTACAGGGGGAATGGCCACGCTGCAATCCCTTCTCCATTATCCTCTAAGGATTTGGAGCGTGCTCGCACCTGGTGTGTTTTTTTTTTTCAAGTCATCAGGTCCAGGACTTGAATTGCTAAGTTGGTCATGTGGGATCCAGCTGCCTTAACCACCATGCTAGCTGGCTGGCCCACCATCATCCATTTGTTTGCACTGGCAAACTTCTATACATCTTTTAAAGTGTAGATTGATTTGAGTATCTCTATGAAATCTTTTTCCAGCTTTACTAAAGGAAGTCATTCCTTATCTATACTGCCCCAGAACAACATTCATACCTACTCTAACTGGAGTGTAGAATGTAAACTCCACCGAGGTGAATACTGTCATCTCCAGTGCCTTCAATAGTACCTGACCACCTCTGGGTTATTATATACACCCTAAATTATAATACTTTGCTCAGTGAACATTCTTGACTTTTTTTTTAAGCTAGACTCTGAGGATAAGAACTATGTCATACTCCTTCTAGTAATCAGCATCTAGCATGGATCCTGGAGTCAGGTCTCAACAGGCTCTCCATAAATTTGTATTTAATAGGTGTATTTCAGGGCGGAAAGATCAAACATTCCATTAGTCTCTCTCCATAAGCTAAGCATCTTTCAGAGCTCTGACATGCTCACTTGCTCCTGTCTTTTCACACAACACGATAGCAGAGCTGGAAAGCAATATTGGATTGTGTAATTCTGTGTGTGTATTTAATGTGGCTCATACCAGTGCCAGAAGGTGGTGTGGAAGTTAAGGTGACTGAGTCACACCAGGCACATGTGTGTGCACGCCCAATATCCCCGTAAGATACCGGAGGAAGAGATTGTGGTATGGCCATCCTCCTTGAGGGGTGATTTATCACTTTATTTCTCTCTCTTTCTCTGCCCTTGTCTCTGGCACATGTCCTATAGCTAAAACATAACAACAAAAACAAAACAGCTAAATCTTTAACGAGAAATTTAGGTCTGCATCGTGCAAGTTACCTGCCCAAGGTCATAAAGCTCAACAGGTTATTATTCATTTATTTGTTTTTTGTCTCATCTGGTTCAGAAAGGATTTCAGGTGATCTAAAGATGTATATTAAACACAGCACAAGCAGAACAGAAGAGATTTAAAGGGGGTAGAGATGTAAAATGGATTAGGAATGCAAGTCATAAAGCAGCATTTATCAAATGGGTTCTGTGGGATGTTTGCAATGCCAAATCTTAGCAGGTGTTACATACAAAGGGGATACCATGATTGGAAATGTTTAAACCTGGTTGAAACAAATTGAAACGGGTTATCTCTACTATAGACTCCTTCAAACCTTTCATGTGCTACATACATTTTGAACTGACAAGAATGCAGTATTTTCTAAACTAATTTGCTACGGAACTCTTTTTCATGCAACATTTTATGTGTTATAGATAAACAAGAATGTGACATTTCCCAAATGTTTTTGATCTGGAACTTTTTCATGCCACATTAGATAGAGAAACTAGTGTTATGCCAAACACCTATTGGGAAATCCTTTCATGGAAGTCTATGTTTTCCGAAGATGAGAGCCAATAAAATTTGTCTCTATAGTCTTTTTTTTAAAAAAATTGTTATGGGATACATGTGCTTGTTGGAGAGAGACAGAGGGAAGAAGAAGGAGTGAAAAGAAATCATTCCCTCGTGTGGGTGGTAGTGGTGGGTGT